ATAGTCCTCAACGAACAACAGTTCATTTAGTGTCGTTCAAAGTTACAACAGCATGGGATCAAAATTCAGATGTTTGGCAATTGATTGATATTTATGACAGTTCAAGTGTACTGGAGCCATGTGATCACCTTTTGCAATCTTCTGACAAGCAAAGTCAATGGGGAAACCCAATTCGCTTAACAACTGTGTTACTAACTTAACTGCAGTGATTCACTTAACAACTGTGGCAGGAAATGTTATAAAACGGGGGCAAAACTCACCTCTTTCTCATCTCAAAGTGCAGGAAGTGGAATAATGGGTCTAGGTCTTGACTTAGTAACCTCTAGATCGCGGTACAAATAATCCCCAACTTACAACAGTTCATTCAGTGACCATTCAAAATTACAACAGCACTGGAAAAAGGGACTCATGACCATTTTTCAGCATCCCCAAGATCATGTGATCAAAATTCAGATGCTTGACAAGCGGTTCATATTTATGATCCTTGCTGTGTCCCACGGTCATGGAATCCCTTTTTGTGACAAAAAGGTGACAAGCAAAACCAATAGGGAAGCCAAATTCACCTAACCGAATTATTAACTTATCAGCTGCAGTGATTCGTTTTACTGTGGTCGTAAGCCAAGGACTACCTATATCATGTCATGACCCAACCAACCACTTCCTCATGCCCCCCCCCTCCCCCCAATTACTGGCCTTAAGACTCCGGAACAGTAAACTTGACAGGGGAAGAAAGCAGGACCTGCTCCTCTCCAACTACCTAGCCAGTTTGACAAATTGGTATCTGGAGATGGTGGGAGGATGGGGAACAGGGCAAGAAGCCAAACTGCTTCAAGAAGATGAAGTAATGGAAAATTTTACAGGAGTGAAAGTAAAGGGGGTGGGGGAACAATACCGAAGAGACAGCAGCCCCAGTGCCTTCTAATGAGAAACCCAGGGAAGATGGATTTATTTTAGGCATAACCTTGTATCTGATGGGAACTTGGTGAAGACAAACTGCAAAACAAACTGCAATTTAAAGAACAAATAAATACCTTGCAGTCATCCATAATCAATAACATTCCTTAATACATTTATACCCAATACGGACAACCTTGTTTCTGGACCCCTCCATTTTAACCAGTTATCCTAGTATTGATTGAGGAACCTACCCTGGCCAGGTACAAAGGGAGAATATTCAGATTTGAGATCTATTTCAGTGCAATGAAGGTCACAACTATAAAGATTGCTGGCTAGATTTTGTGGTTACCAACCTTGGTTGTCAAGGAAAGGAGAAGCAAGATAATTGTATCTCCTTCCACTGGAAACAAACAAACAAACAAAAGCCATCCTTTCCAGATAGCCAACTAATCAGAACCCGCTTGTATGACGAGAGTTCTTCAGTCCATCATCTACACTGCAGTAAGATCAAGACTTAGGGCAGTGATGGCGAATCTTTTTGTTGTGGTGTGCTAAAAGCACACGCGCACACCCACAATGCAATGCGCCCCCCCTGCACTTGCACACGCGTCACCCCACCTTGCCCCCTTACCTGCACCATGCATGCGCGTGCCTCCCAGCTGATTTTCAGCCCTTTGGAGGCCGCTTTCGCCCTCCCAGAGGCTGAAAACGGGGCCGTTTCAGCACTTCAGGTATTTCCAGAAGGCCAGTTTTTCTGCCTCCCGAGGCTGCAGAGGCTTCCCTCGAGCCTCTGGGAGGGCAAAGAATGGGCTCAAATGGGCCGAAAATCAGCTGGGAGGCATGTACATGTGCAGTGCAGGTAAGTTTGGCTGGGGCTTGTGTGCCTGCACAAATGGCTCTGCGTGCCACCTGTGGCAGGTTTGCCATCACGGATTTAGGGCTGCAGCATTAAACACATTTCAGCCTGAATAGGAATTGTGTTGTTCTCCCTTACTCAGGAAGATTGTATTTTACCATTCTCTTTGAAATAGCAATTGTAACTTGACTGTTCAAGAAACAAGGAAAAGGACCAATATAAGAGAAAATTTGTAGCTCAGGGTTGAACTCTGGGGTCCTTGGTGCTTTCTGATGGTGGTTGGTGGTTTTCTTGCAGACATTTCATTACCAAACTAAGTAACATCATCAGTGCTACATCTAGCATTGATGATGTTACCTAATTTGATAAGGAAACATCTGCAAGAAAACCACAAAGCTCAGACAGCACCAATAAAAGAGAACCTTGAAGAAAAGGAGGATTGTAGAAGTTTGAAGCATAGTTTGGATGATCACAAATCATGTTCACAAAAGTATGACTAGCCACTTTTGAATAGAACAATAGTTTAGATTCTAAAGAAACTCAGCTTACCACGAACAAAGTCAGCACACAACAACTGGATTCATTTATCATAGTAAGACATCATTTTATATATGTATATTGTGTAAAAACAACTACACCAGTAGCAAGGAAGTATGTTTTTATCCAGTGGTGGGATTCAAATATTTTTACTACTGGTTCTGTGGGTGTGGCTTGGTGGGCATGGCAGGGGAAGGATACTGCAAAATCTCCATTCCCATCCCACCCCACTAACCTGCTTTCCAGCTCCATTCTCCTGTGCAGGGCAACAAAAGAAGACCCAGCCGATCAGCTGGGACTCGGGGGGAAGAGAATAGATGGGGGCGGGGCCAGTCAGAGGTGGTATTTGCCAGTTCTCCAAGCTCCTCAAAATTTCCACTACCAGTTCTCCAGAACTGGTCAGAACCTGCTGAATACCACCTCTGATTTTATCCCTGTAGCTTTTTTAACATGCCATGATTAAAGAAAACTGGCTTAAAACCATGTGAAAATTCAGCATTTGTTCATCCTTTAGTTCTCTTACTAGTGGTGAACTTGGTCTAAAAGACTTACCATCTCCAAACCTAGAACGTACCAATGTTTAATCCTTTACAAACTAGAATTGAGTTCAGACATTACAGAAAGCTTTCATTTCCATACATGATTTCTTGAGGTAGTCATAGACATATATTAGCAGCATAAAGCTGTATGGATTGACCATTAGCTTGATATACTATGTAAATGTGTCTCATAAAAGGAGACCAACGCATAGACAGCAGTTCATTTGGTTGCTTGCAATCAATTCCAGGTAACCAGAAAAAAAGCAAAAATAATTTTTTGGCTTCAAGAGATGACTATATAATACAGATACATACAATGTAAGATTGGGGAAAATCTTGGGTCAGTAAAGTAACATGTACTCATGTACAAGGCTGGTATCATAGGAAGTTAGATAAATAGTGTAATGAATTGGCTAAGCATTAAAGGCCTCCTGTTTCTAATTCATGTTTTCTCGACTGACCTTTTTTTAGGACCTGCCAAACAGCATCTTCTTTAGCCATCATAAAAACAGTGTGAGTGCTGCAGGGAAAGGCAGAAACTCTCTTACTCAGGAAGCCTTTGGGTTCATTACGCTATGGGAAGCCAATCTTACTGGATTACACAATCTGCACCAAACCATGATAAGACATTTGGCTCAGCACACCCAGCCTTTGAAATTACAAGCTGGTTCCAACAGTGGTGGAAATTAAAGAGTGGTGTAAAGGCAAAACCTGTTTCCCATTCTTTCAAGGTTTGTGTAGGAACACATTGAGAACCCACCAAGGCAGAACTTGAGATGGCCTCATCTGATCTTTCAAAGATGAAAGCAGAATGAATCAAAGTGACTTCTAAAATCAAGAGGAAGAGAGGAATTGGATCCCAAGATTCGTCTAAATTCCCAACATCTCCAGCTATGGGATCACTACAGAGCGCCAGTTTGAGGTAGTGGTTAAGGTGATGGCCTGAAAGCCAAGAGACTGTGAGTTCTAATCCCACTTTAGGCATGAAAGGCAACTGAGTGTCTTTGAGCCAGTCAATCTCTCGCAGCCCTACTCACTTCAAAGGATTGTTGTTCTCGGAAAATAGGAGGAGGGTGGCATGTTCACTTCCTTGAGTATAAAATAATAAAGACAGGATAAAAATCTAACAAACTGGCCTGGGAAGATTTTTTTTTTCTTCCTTATATGCTGGAAGGTATCAATCTGGAGTTTTCACTGGAGGCACAAATGACCAGGCTCAAATAATCCTACTTCAGGCACATTAGGAACCAGATCTCTGGAAAAGGCTCTATTGATGAGAAAGGTGGAAGGAAAGATGACAACAACCAGCAGCAAAAAGGACAGACTCAGTTAGAATCACTCAGTAGAAATATCTCCAGAAGACTGGAAAGAATAGGCTAGATTATCATGGAAAACATCAGTGTGTGATCGCTAAAAACTTGATGGAACATAATCACCAGGGCAGTTAGATGCTACAGCTGTACTACAGATTCATGATGATTAAATTAGAAATAAAAGAATGCTCCCCTTAGGTTGCCAAGTGACTAAGGAATGTTTTTCCCACTTATTGGTAAATCACTGTAGGCAACCACCCTGCACCAAAATAACATTTTCTTCCGAACCACTACGGCAGAGGAACATGCCTTCATTTTCATTCTGCACGTGCAGGTTGCATATATTATTCAATTGCAAGCTGGAGTTGCCATCACTTTGCAAAGCAGCCGCCTGGCTAATAAAACTCAAATTGCTAACTGGGATGCCAGATATGTGCATGGATGGAGATGGCAGCAGCTCAGCAGAATAGATTCCCCTTAGAAAGGATCTGCCACTCTCTAGATATAATCCCATAAAGATCACTACAGCCGCAGCTGGGAAATACCGCAGGAAAGCATTTTTGAGAACAGGCTCCAAAACCAATAACCCACTCCAAAGCTGAGCCCAGGTATTAGTGATTTTCCCAGTGCACGAAGAGGCTTTGCAAACTCTCTCCGCAAAGACTTGACCCTAGCATGAGAGACGCCCCTGATCTTCCTCCCTGAGTCAAAGCCACTCTGTACAAGCTCAGAGGAAACCCTTTCCTCGGGAATCACTCCCTGTTTGTCCGGCCAGGACAAAAGAGGGGAGCCGAGAAACAGGAGGCGGCGGCGGGGTTCCCTCGGGGATCCGTGGCTCGCCACACGGAGGCTACCAACCTGGTGGAGAGCGCTGATGCCGTCGGCATTAGTGCCGTTCACGGCTCCTGGGTCGGCGCGGAGCATCTCCCGTGCCGCTTCCAGCTCGGCGCCGGCGCAGCAGGCCAAAAACTCGGCGGCCGCGTCGAAACGGACCGCGCGCGGCCGGCCGCCGGAGCCCATCCCTGGCGCCGCGGGAGGCAGCGCTTCGTCTGCGGACACCGGCAACCCAGCCGGAGCGGGTGAAGGCGCGGAGTCGGCGGGAGGCGGGAGAAGAGTAGCGGCGGCGGCGGCCGCCTCGGCCTCGGCCCAGGCACGAAGCTGTTCCCGCCGCCGCGCCCGGGCGCCTTCTCCCTCGGAGAGGGAGAGCAGCGGCGCCGCCATTTTCTTCCTCTGCTGCAGCCACCGGCGCCGCCAGCCCGGCTGGGCGGCCCTCCCGGCCCAGCTCCTCGGTAGGCTGAAAAGCAGCCGTAGGAACGCCTCTCGGCTTCCGTACCCAGAAGGGAAGGAAAAGGAGGGGGGCAACATGAATACGAAGGGGGTGGGAAAAGAGAAAAGATCTTGTGGGGCATCACGGGAAATGGAGTCTTGTTCTGTTCTTTTCTTCCTCGGTGTGACGGGAGGGATTAATCTTTGTTTCCCCATGCCTTTGATCATAATTTTCCATGGGGGCGGAACAGGCCCTTTTAAACTTTATTATTTATATACACGTCGCATATTTTTTTTAGCCCTTTACCCTTAAAAACTATATCACCATTGTTGGTCACCTGTGCTTCCTATCTCTATGGAACTTTTTTAAAAGGATGTTTAATAGTCCGCCCGCTATTGTTGTTAGGTCTCTCCCGCAAGAGCTCCTGGGAGATGAAGTCCACAAGAGTTTCAATAGTAACATTATAAAAACGCTCTAATTCCGACGGGAGATTCTGAGCTAACTTCCTACCAAGTCGTTTACATTTTCCACAGTTGTTTGGAGTGGCTTTTATGGGGTTTATGAAGTTAGCATGAAAAACCCTTCTAAAGATTCTGCGAAGCTGAATGTCTCTATGGACTCTCGCCCTAAACATTTTTTTGACATTTTTGGGACTCTTAAAGGTGATGTCATTGAATACCCATAGACCGGGCAGAAGTATAGTACAGAGTGCTTTGATTATCTACGGTTGCTCCCTCTAAGCGAGCAGTCTAACTCTACTGTCTATTTATGCTATATAAATATAATAGTATAATTGTGTATTATTCATAATTTACATTTTTTAGGGATGCCAAGGGAACTGAGTAGTGTGGAGCTAGTACATCTGGGCTTCTCATTTGCAATCAGTGGGGGACCTCAAAGAGAGGTTTCTTTTCTGTTCAGCATCTCATTGTCCCCCTCTAATTGCCCAGATTTTAAGAGTTCAGAATAATTTAGTTGTTGTCTAAATTTTAAATAATCTCTGTTTTTCTTATACTGTATTTATACAGTTCCCAAGCTTTCTTCCTTCATTTCCCCCCTTCTTTCTCCATACACACAGCTGCACACATAGGCGAAAACTCTTTTGTCTGAAGCCTACCAGAACTACTGTACTTCTCATTTATATAAGCTACCATACCCAGAAGCTCCAAGCAAGAAAGACAGAGAATGTTTCTTACTCACCATGGGTCTGAACCCACACAGTGGCTATATGGCAGTAAAGCACCAATATTAATACTCTTCCACTCACATTGCTTCTGTGGATGGTCATGCAACAGCACCATCTAGGATAGATGCATAGGCTTTGTTGCGTTGTGGGAACAAAGACTCGAGACCCAGTTGATTTTTATTCTCTTTATTCTCTCTAGAACTGATCATCGGCAAAACCGCGGCAGCCTTTTTTATAGCGGGCTGCTCGTGGCCAATGATGGCTCTTCAAATTTCCCACCGTCCGGACCGACCTATCCAAGGTGAGTATGCAAATATATAACACCCCTCCCCATGTGGTCCAGTCCAACCAATCAAGCCTCCCCTATGTTATGTAGTCACGTAAATAGGTGGGGCTCTTATGGGTTCGACTGGACCTGCGCAATTCAGTCGTGGTTTTGTCTCCGGACTATTTGGATGAGTTCGCTGTTTCTCCCGTTCTCTTCTGTGGAGCCTCCTGGAAGGTAGAGTCAGCCATGCCGCTCCCGCCTGGCCTTTCCGGGCTGGTTGAGTCGGCTCGGCCACTCCCGACAGGAGTGGCTTCTTGATGGTTCTCCGAAGCCTGCTCCAGTCTTTCAAAGTTGTCTTCTTCTTCTATGGTTTCAGGTATGTGTTTGTGATTTCCGATCGGGCTAATGTTAGTATTGGTTGTTGTATCGTTGTTCGGGTTTGTTTTGTTACTTCTCATGCTTGTGGAGGGTCTCCCCCTCCCCTCTCGTTTGTGTTTGAGGGGTCTCCTCCCTCTCTGGTTTGGCTATTTTTGTTTAATATTTGAGGCGATTCCTGTGTTTGTGTAAATTCTTCCCATTCTTCCCCCTGATTGTTAGTGTTTCTCAATGTGGCCCTCGATCTGATTTGGTCTATGTGTCTCCTCCAGCTCTTTCCGTCCTCTGTCTCTACCCTGTATGACCAGGGTCCTATTATTTGGGTTATTGTTGCCAGTATCCACAATGGTTCCCCCGTGAGGTTTTTTGCATAGACTAGGTCCCCTGTTTTGAATGTGCGGTACTTACTGGAGGAGTCTGTTGGCTTTTCAGGGCTATATGTGGGATGTAGTCTGTCTAGGTTAGATCTTAGTTTCCTTCCCATTAATAGTTCTGCTGGGCTTTTATTTGTTGTGGTGTTTGGTGTAATGTGTTGTATACTTAGTAGTTTGTTTATCTTTTCCTGTATATCTCCAGTTCCCAATTTGTGTAGTGTTTCCTTAGTATAACGGACCATATGTTCCACCCGTCCGTTTGTAGCCAGACGTACCGGCGCTGTTAGTACATGCCTTATCCCTTGTTCTGCTAGGAACCTCTCAAATGTTAGTGCCGTGAATTGCGGTCCGTTGTCAGATACAACTAAATCCAGTAATCCATGTATCGTAAAAAGCTTCCTTAGTTGTCTAATAACAGCTTCTGTTGTGGTTGAGTGCATAATGCTTACCTCTAGCCAATCTGAGTAAGCGTCTACCACTATTAAGAACGTGTGTCCTTTAGTTGGTCCTGTAAAATCAATGTGTATCCTAGACCATCGGCCCCTAGGTGTTTCCCAGTCGAGTGCAGGTGCAGAAGGGGGTACAGGTCTAGATTCTTGGCATCATTTGCATGTTGCTACCCATTCCCCAATATCCTTATCCATCCCTGGCCACCATACATAACTCCTAGCTAGGGACTTCATTCTGACAATACCCGGGTGACCCTCATGCAATAATTCAAGTATTTGTTCCTTCAATCTGTCCGGTATGATCACCCTATCCCCCCATACTACACATCCTTTTAAGATAGATAGTTCCGTTTGTCTATTCCGAAACAGTTTAACAGTCTCGTCACTTGCGGTCTCTGGCCACCCTTTACCTACCCAATCTAAAATCTGCGCCAGGTTTCTGTCTCTTGCGGTTTCCCTAGCAATGTCTGTTGCTGTTATGGGTAGGTTTGCCAACGTCTCAATTTGCAGGGTTGATGTAGTTGGTGCAGGATCCTCTTCTAACTCAGGTAGGGGGGGAACGCCTCAGGGCGTCAGCGTGTGTTATGTTCTGTCCTGGTCAGTAGATCACGTTGTAGTTATATGCAGCGAGGATTTCGGACCACCTCGTCTCCGCGGTGATAGTATGTTAGGTGTAGCTTTGTTTCCTGCGAGGATTCCTAAAAGAGGTTTATGATCTGTGACAAGTGAAAAATTTCTGCCATAGATGTACTTGTGGAACCGTTTTACTCCTGTTATTGCGGCCAATGCCTCTCTATCTAATTGGCTGTAATTCCGCTCTGTTTTTGATAGAGTTTTTGAATAGAATGCGATAGGTGCTTCTTTTCCATCGGGTAATATGTGGCTGAGTATGGCACCGATGCCGAATGGTGACGCATCGCACGTTAATGTTAGTGGCAGGGTTTCGCTATATTGTATTAGCACACAGTCTGATGTAAGTAAGTCTTTTATTCCCTGGAATGCTGTTTCTTCTCATCAGCCCCAGGGCCAGGTAGCTTTCTTATCAAGCAACCTGTGCAGTGGTTCTGCTATCGTTGCTTTCTGTGGCAAAAATACATTGTAAAAATTAATAAGTCTCCAAAAGGCTTGTAAATCTGTTTTATTTTTGGGTCTGGGAGCTTCCTTTATTGCTCTGATTTTGTTTTCAGTGGGGTGGATCCCTTCTTTGTCTATGAGGTATCCCAGGAATTCAACCTTATCGGTGGCTAATTGGCACTTCTCTTTTTTAACTTTAAGTCCCGCCTCTTTAAATTTTTGTAAGACCTCCCTCAGGCGGTCTTTCAGTTGTTCTTTGTCCCTGGCTGATACTAATACGTCGTCAAAATATGGTACCACCCCCTTTATTCCTTGCAAGAGGCGTTCCATTAAGCTCTGGAATACCCCTGGGGCCACGCTAACTCCGAATTGCAGTCTGTTGCATTTGAATGCCCCCCTGTGAGTCACAATTGTTTGTGCTTCCACTGTTTCTGGGTCAACCGGCAATTGTTGGTAGGCTTGCGCAAGGACCAATTTCGCGAAGATTCTACCTCCCCCCAAAAGAATGTAAGAGGTGCTGTACCACCGGAACTGGGTATGCACTTTGTTGTAGTACATGGTTGAGGGTTGCCTTGTGGTCTCCGCAGATACATACGGACCCATCTGGTTTAATAGGAGTAACAATTGGGGTTTCCCACCTTGCGTGGTCTATTGTTTCTAATACCCCCTGTGCGATATGTTTATCTAATTGTTCATCAATTTTTGGTTTTAACGCGAAAGGAACTCGCCTCACCTTTAGTCTTATAGGGGCTATATTTGGATTTAAATTAAATGAGATAGGGGACCCTTGGTACTTGCCCAGTTCATTGAAGACGTCCTGGAATTCTTTCATCAGGTTCTCTTCCCAGTCTGTCTCAGTGATGTTGTTTATTCTGGTTACTCCGATTCTTAATGGTGCAAACTATTCGAGTCCCAGTAGACTGGGGCGATCCTGGTCGACTATGGTTAGTGGAAGGACTTTAGTGTGTTTTTTGAATTTAACTTTGAAATGTCCGGTTCCTACTACAGGAATTCTGTTTCCCTGGTAGTCTTTTAGTGTGAGTTTTTGTATTTCTAGCTCTCTCTCTTTTATATCAGGTATTAAACTTTTGAGGGTGTTCCACGATACGAGCCGTAATCCACCTCCATCTCGCATGGCTGATCTTTTATGGTGACTTGCACATGTAACTTTTTCTCATTGATTGAGCTTGAGTGTCCGATAGTTATTGTTTGATGTGTTTCCTCTTTTCTATTGGCTTCTTTCCACCGCTTGTTTCTGCTTTCTTGACTCCAACGGCTCCCTATTTGCCTTTCCCTCTCCCTGGGAGGGGTATTCCATGTCTGTCTAGGGCTATAGTTATTTTTGTTTTGGCATGCCCTAGCTATGTGTCCCCGCCGTTCACAATACCTGCAAATAGCATCGAAAAAATGGTATTCGGAACGTGGATGGTCTCCTCCGCACCCGGCACAACGGAATTCTGACTTCCTTTCCTTTCGCTCCCGTCTACCTTTTTCCGACCGGAGTTGATTTACCTCTTCTTCTTCCTTGTTGTCTTCTGATAGGGATTCGATGTCCTCGTGGTGTGTCCTGGTGGTGAGTTTTTGAGTTTCCTCTGGTTTCTTATTGCGTGTTTGGCTAGTGTCTTTTGGGGCTTCCTTTATTAATTTATTCATTTGTCGCATGGTGGCTACCGATTTTTGTGTTGCTTCCTCTGTGGTGGCTTCTTCTATGGCCTCTGTTAATGTTATTTTAGATCTTGTTAGTAGTCAACCGTGTAGTGTAAGGTCTTTTAATCCGAGGACCACGCAGTCCCTCATGGCCTCATCCATGTGTAGGAATTCGCATGCGCCACTAATGTCTCTTAGTGCTGCAACAAAATCTCCGATGCTCTCGTCTTCCTTTTGGTCACGCCGATAAAATCTGTGTCTTTTGATGAGGCATGAAATGGTTGGCGCATAATGGGCTCGCAGTAATTTGTCTAAGTCCGTCCACGCCATCGTCTTTACATCGTGGGGTGCTGCCAATGCCTTTGCCATTTTGAATACTGCGGGCCCACAGTGGGTGAGGAAGACTGCTCTGTTCCTATGTTTGGATATTCCTTGGAGCTCGCTCCCTTCTAGAAACATCAGGAATCGGTCGATGTGGGATTCCCAGTCTTCAGTTGCTGGATTGAATGGTGCGGGCAGCGAGTTGTTCCCAGCCATTTCGTCTCGCTCAGTCCTTGTTGCCACATGCACAACTGGTCTCCTTTGTCTCAGTATCCCACCCTCGTCGCCAATGTTGCATTGTGGGAACAAAGACTTGAGACCCGGTTGATCTTTTATTCTCTTTATTCTCTCTAGAACCTGATTCCGGTGAAACCACGGCAGCCTTTTTTATAGCGGGCTGCTCGCGGTTCGCGGCCAATGATGGCTCTTCAAATTTCCCGCCATGCGGACCGACCTATCCAAGGTGAGTATGCAAATATATAACAGGCTTCAACTCACAGAGAGCTCCAGCCAGCTGGGTGGGGCATTCTGGGAATTGAAGCCCATGCATCTTAAAGTTTCCCAGGCTGAGAAACACTGATCCAGGATGACTCCTTCCACATTGGAAATAAATGGCGACGAAGACTTCCCGGAGGCTCTTGGGACCTTTTTACATTTAACCTTTTACTGATAAAAGTCAATCACCTTTGCCCAAATTTGACTTTGTGGGATCTAAAGCGACAACTGTGAAGAGTCTTGTGGTATTACTTAGGACTCCTCTTAGTTCATAGATTGAATCGAGTGAATAAGGAACCTTTTACGTAAGTTTTGCCAGTTGTGATCCAGACCATGACTTGCCTTCACTTTTTTGAGGGCTTGATAATCTGGATCTGAGAGGTGATCCTGTGATGAGAGAGAGCATGACGCCAACAACCTGGACAGTGGAATTTCATAGCATGTCATTGCAGCGTGAAATACCCCTTCACATCTGTATAACAATGAAAGTAAAGGCGGGGTATAATTAACAGTCACATCTTCTCTCTCTCTCTCTCTTTTCCTTTTTAATTAATATTTCTTCTGGACTCTAACCAATTGCTGGATGTATTTCCACATTCAAAAGAATGTATGCTATTTTGTTAATCTTCTGTTGTCTGATAAATATTTTAATATGGATTTGGTACACACAAAGCAGAAGTAGGCAAGCTTTTGATAGTTTGGGGGACTGTCTGTTTTTGTTTTTTTGGGTGGAGAGGTATCTAAAGATGGCAGAAGGATGGTTCCAAATGGGCAATGCTATATCATAGATATTGATGGGATTAAGATTTGATTTTTGAGGGGGAGGGAGGCTAGAGAGATTCCTTCCTTCCTTCCTGCCTCCCTCCCTCCCATTTTGATTGAGAAAAATGCTAGAAAACAGTGCCTCTGACTTGGAGAGATTATAGCTGGAATGTGATCCAGAGGCCTCAAATTGGAGCTTTGAGACATCAGGCAATTTAGACACGATAAACTCTTCACTCCTGGTATAAATAAAAACAAAACAAAAAAAATCCCCCCAAAAAAGAAGAGGCCTGCTTCTGTAGTTGTAAATAGAACCTCTGTTTCTCAACTTTAAGCATGTTGGCTGGGGAATTCTGGGAATTGAAATCCATGTATTTTGAACCTGCTGAGGTTGAGAAGCACTGCTCTAAATCAGGGGTCTCCAACCTTGGTAACTGTAAGACTTGTGGACTTCAACTCCCAGAAAACCTAGCTGAGAAACTCTGGGAATTGAAGTCCACAAGTCTTAAAGCTGCCAAGGTTGGAGACCCCTGCTCTAAATGATACTGCATCTCCAACAGAAGTCAGAAGAGAGTCAGTTTCATAAAAAGATATTGATAAAGCTGGACCGGAAAACAATGTGTGCAAGTAAGTCAATACCCTTTTCCAGTTCCCATCACTTTGCAACTTTAACCTTCCCACCCACCCCCCCTGTTTCTTTAATCAATTAAGTAATCGTTTGTTCCATTTGTACCAATCATAGATATCAGAAAGAAATTGAATTGCTGGAGAGATTCATGAAGAAGAGAGGTTGATTTATTGTGTGGCTTGTGGCACATGACTGGTCAGAGATGCACATGACAAGGAGTCAGGGAATGGAACAGGAAAGCGTTCAACTCAACACAAAGCAACACAAGAGGGGGAAAAAAAAGGATGAGATGTAATCAGCAGTCACTTCTGTTGCCAGGGAGACTTTCAGATTGGGCTCCACATGCTGAGTTGACTCCCTTTTACTTCCAGCGACCACCAAGCCTGGTTTTTCCAGCACCCTTTTTGCTGTTGAGGAAAAGATATATATGACAACATTATAGCAAACATTTTTGTACAATATTCACACAGAGATGTGTAATTTCTATGTAAAAAGGAAGGAAGGAAGGAAGGAAGGAAGGAAGGAAGGAAGGAAGGAAGGAA